GCAAGCGCAAGGATGAACCTCAAGCATGGCGAGAAGATCTCAGTGGAGGAGTGTTGCTCAATGGTCCAAGGAATTGCCAAGGAGCGGACATCGGAAAGACACCAACGCCGCTTCGAACCAATCCCACTCGATGACCCGACATGCCACCCCTGCGTGGCTGCACCCCCCGACCAAGTGTGCAGCTGCATTCGAGACCCGATAAGTAGGAAGAGCATGCACTTCGCGAGTTGTGCGTCAGATAGTGGGCTGTCAGTTGGGGCTCGACACATCTACGTCGTCCAGGAGGTCGGGGGGCACTCCTTAGGGGACGTCAAGCAACTGACTGAGGCCCTCACTGTGAACCTCTCGTACAGGAAGTCCTTCTGGGCAGTGGCAGGGGCGTTGTCTGTGCGCGATGGCGAACTTGAGTTTTGCCTGGGTATGCCTTGGCACGCCGAGAAGTTGCACGGACACTTCGACCGCGCAGTGCGACGTACTCTGGAGAGGTGGCCCCGCAGTTCCATGCGAAGCATCAATGCGATCGGCGTTGGGAAGTTGGCAGTCCACTGGAAGTCTGAGAACTTTACCATTGTTGACTTGGCCTCTCTCCGCGTTCTTCGCCTCAGGCCGGCCGCGAAGGCCAGGATTCCACGTGCTGCTGGCGATGGCGCGCCTGGTGGCCACGCCGCCATTGGGGGCGCCGCTCCCGAAGGGCCTGGAGATGGGGGAGGCGATCACGAGGGGGCATCAGACGAGGACGGTGGGATCGACCTGGATGCCGCAATGGGGGAGATCATAGGCGACGACTTCGGGGAGTTCGGCGTCGGCGAGGAGAGCGCCGACTACTCCGAGAATGCTGCTGGCGCGGCGGGTGGAAGCGATGCGGGAGATGACGTCGTTGAGGATTTGGACTTCGAGGATATCTCGGTTTCGGTTACCTGCCGCGGCCTCCAATGCGCCGCGCTCCCCCGAATGGGGCCCCCCTTCCCAAATCAAGCACTGGCCGCTGTTGTTGCCCATCCCACTTCCATCTTCTTCTTGGGGCTGAGCGGGGGGGCGCGGCGCATGGGGGCGCGCGGGGGGTGGGCGAAGCCGCCAGGCCCCGACCGTGCACCCCAGGGTCGTGCATTACATCTGCGCTGGTGGCATCCAGCGGGCACCTATTCTGGACCAGACTTGCAGGATGTGCGCTAGCAGCGCGGAGCTGGTGGCCGCAGCCAGAGGGCGCGCGGCCAAGTGTGCGGAACACATCATACAGCATGGGGACATCTCGTTGGTAGAGGTGAAGAGGCCGCTGGACGAGGACACGTTCGACCACCAGGTGTTGCTCGTGAGATGGGGGAGGTGCCGAGGAGAGCCGATGACTGGCAGGCGAATCCGACTCGACCACAGGCGCGGCATCATCTTCAACGCTGCGCACCTTGTTGAGCTCGAGGAGTGGCCGAGCCCAACGACAAACATCTTTGTGCGGAAACTTCCCGTGGACATGGTAAAGCGCAAGGGTGTCGACCGAGAGAAAATGCCACACTGGGCAGTTGCTCTGCAGAGACATGCTCAGTGCCAGGAGTTTTGTGGGCCTTTGGCTGTTACTGAGGCTGAGGTCGAGCACGATATGTCAAGCATGTGTGTGTTATGCAAGTGTGCGTCAGAGATCGACCCAGATACCCTTGTGTATGGGATTGAGTTGCCGACGTATGCGTGCGCCCGCTGCACCTCCAGGTGGCGCGCGTGCTGTGCGAATTCGGTAGCTGATGCTGCCAATGCTGACTTGAAGAAATTCGTTTGCTTCTTTTGTCTGTAAGTCTGTAAGCCTCACACTGTGAGCCGTGGGCGAGACACAAGCGTCGAAAGGAACGGTTGTGGGAGTGGAGGAGGGCGGAGAGGAGCACAAGGGAGAAGATTACCGATGCAGATTCTCCTGGGCCGTGCTCTTGGGCGTTCTGGAACGTCTGGTGGTCTGGTGGTCTGGTGGTATGGCGGTCTGGTGATCTGGTGGTCTGGTGGTCTGGTGGTCTGGTGGTCTGGTGGTCTGGCGGTCTGGTGGTCTGGCGGTCTGGTGATCTGGTGCTCTGGTGGTCTGGTGGTCTGATGGTCTGGTGGTATGGTGGTCTGGCGGTCTGGTGGTCTGGCGGTCTGGTGGTCTGGTCTGGCGGTCTGGCGGTCTGGTGGTCTGGCGGTCTGGTGGTCTGGTGGTCTGGTGGTCTGGCGGTCTGGTGGTCTGGCGGTCTGGTGGTCTGGTGGTCCGGCGTCGTCGGGCAAACGACGACGCAAGCGCGAGCAAATGCAGGCCAGCCCAAGAAGTTGGGGGAAATAGCGTACCAATCTAGTGATTGGTACGCTATTTCCCCTCTTAGGTTTGGGGGCAGCCCACTGCTGGCTTAGGGGCTTATACGTCATGTGTGTCAACATAGTTGATAATGGCGCAGTGCTGTTTATCAATGGTTTTGATAATCGAGTGTTGTTTTATCAATGTAATTGATAATGTGATTGTAGTTGTGTGTTGTTTATCAATGTGTTGTATAACTGCACGTTATTGTTATCAATGTGTTTGAAAATCGCATGTGTGACATTATCAATATGTTTGATAATTCGGTTGTCTGGTGTTTGATAATGTGTTTGATACTTGTGTTGCTATGCGCGCATGATTAGCAATGTGTTTGGTAATTCGGCTGGTTGGTTGAACGGGTTATCAATCTGTTTGATAATGTGTGTTGCTATGTGCGCATGGTTATCAATGAGTTTGATAATTCGGCTGTTTGGTTGACTGGCTACCAATATGGTTGCTAATGGATGTTGCTATATTGTCAATGTGTTTGATAATTGGCGGGCTGAGCGCATTTATCAATGTGTTCGATAATTTAGTCGTGGGGGTCTAGCTGCAACGCTCATTGTGTTATCAATGCGTTTGATAATTTCGTGGTCTGGCGAGGGCATTATCAACCAGTTTGAAAAAAGCCGAGGGCCCCATTTTCAACCTCATTGAAAATGTGTCCAGTCGGCGCCCCTGTTTGTTCAATGCGTTTGATAATGCAATGTCGCCCACAAGGGGCGCGAAGATAATTGCGGTTCGCGCTTCGCGATCTGGGCTGGAGAGTTGCCATTCTACATCGGGGTTGGGGGGGGGGGGGGGGGGCGCGAGGGCGCGAAGATTCTTGCGCCTCGCGCTTCGCGCAGCGCGAAGCGCGAAGCTAGGCGACCTAAATAATTCATGCTGTGCTCGGTGACGTTCGGCGCTGGTGAGGCGCCCTCGAGGGCTCAGTTGGCATCTGGCAGAAGCCGTTGTGGCTCGGAAGGCTACCAGCTGCTGCGACCGAGGGCTGCAACTTAGACCCTAGAGTTGCCAGCGGGCTCGCGCCCGCCCGCTCAGGGCGCGATGGCGATGACGACCATCGCGCCGCACAACAGGAGCCAGCAATGCCACGACGACGATGATGATGTCATGTGGGGCGATCGCTACCCTCACGTTCGCGTGCGTTGGCCTGACCTTGTGGGGATCACGATGCAGCAGAGGGTGACCCAGCTGTACTGCGTGACGGAGTGAGTCCATCTGGATCCCCGCAGCCGTGGAGACAGTGGACGGCTTGGTGTGGACATGCGATAGGAGCCCGTTCAACAAAAGAGGTGACGCAGCCAGCGTGCAGTCTCGCAAGCGCTCGGTCGAGAAAGTTGGCATCCCCAACATTCGCGCTGGGCCCTGGGTTGTGCCGAGGGACGAGATCGACATCACTGTGTGCGCGGATAGGGCTTCCAAGACCACGAAGACTGTCACGCTCCAGCGCCACAATTTGTTTCACTGGGCCACGATCTACGAGGGCTTGCAGGCTGCCGTGAATGACGAAGGCAACGCTGGCAACTCAGTCGTGGAGGCGTCGTTGCGGGATGGCCTCCAGAATTGCAAAGTGTTCCACAAGCGAACCCCCGCGTACGTGCAGGAGTACCTCGTCGACGTTGGCAACGAGACGAACGACGAGCAGAGTTCGCGGGCTGCCCTCCAGGTGCTGATGTCCCATGACAGCGTCGAGTCGACCTTCTTCCAGAAGAAGAAGCTGTACGAGTGGTCAGTGGCAAGCTTGGGCCAGCGGCAATACGCAGAGAAGAGGTTCGAGGTCGCTGAGAGCATGTTCGTTAACCGTTGGCGTTCGGGCCACCATTATGATCAGAGCCTCAGCGCATACAGAGAAGCAGCACATAAAGACAACGTGCTGCCCTCGGGCAAGAGAGTCTGGGGCGCCGTGTGGGAGCAGAGCCAGGCCAGCGTTGATTGGATGCACCCCGCGATCAGCGGCAATCACTGGATAGTCATCGACAACTTCGTCCATTGCATGAAGCTCGTGAAGAAAGGCTTCCCTGGCTACGCCGTGGGCTTGTTCCTGTTGTCGTTGCCCCGCATTCCGACCGCGGTCGCGGGGGTCTCAACCTTCCTCCCGCAGGGCCTGGACACCAGCAAGTTGCAGTGTTTGACCGAATTGCACGTCGAGAATCTCCTGTTGCCCATGGAAGGGAGTACGGCGCTGAAGGATGTCGAGGCAGCGAGGGCGGAGGCTAGCGCCAAGAAGGCGCACAAGAGGCGTCGGACCGTTGCTCTCGAGGAAGGGCTTGGCCTGGACTCGGCCAGGACCATGGTGTGGCTGGACGACTTGACTAATTTCTTGGACTACTGCTCCTCTAAGCTCAGGTGCGATGCAGACGCGATCAACAGCATGAAGTCTATTTCGATGTATGCGACTTCCACTGGCTCCGTATGCCTCTACTCTCAGCCCAACGGCCAGAAACTGACCGTCATCACCAAGTGGAGCACTCTGATAAAGATTATGAAGAAGGATGCTTATCGGCGATCCCAGCTTCAGCCGAGGCCGACGGACCCTGACTTCAACGTGGGCGAGACTTTGGACGCCGCGCCGATTCAGGACGACGTTCGCGTCCCCCCCGAGGACATGATCTCCGACTACTTGCCTGTCGTTGGGGGCATCGTGGCGCACTTGAAGAAACACCCGCCCGATGACGAGGAGTCCTAGAAGACCATGGTCGCCAAGGGAGTCGGGGCCGTGGTGATGAGTAGCATGGCCAAGATCTACAGCGATAAGGACTGCAGCCCTGGGGCTGCTTCGAAGTACGTGGTGGAAGCGGCCGCAGACTTCGCGCTCGCGCTACTTTCCTTCAATGTCGACGTAGACTCCGAGAAGTTGCTGCGGGCGATCAAGGACATGAAGGCGGATGTTCCCGAAGCGTGCCAGCAGCTCGTGATTTTCCAAGAGAAGGGCTTTCTCAAACCCAAGTCCATGCGATGGAATCTCGCGATTCGCGTGGTGTGCGAGATGGGCCAGGTCAGAACTCCCAGCGGGGCCCAGGTCATCGGCAATGAGGTAATAAAGGTGCTCGAAGTGTGCAAGGACTCGTTCAAGTTCTGCAGTGGTGCGCAGGATGAAGAGCCCTGGGTGGTTGGGACCGAAGCAACCTACAACCTGACGTTCCACGATGCCCTCGACAAGCTCTACGGCGCAGTTCTGACGTTCGTGGCCCACGACGCCGCGGCCCTCGAGAACGACGCGGCGGCTTTCAAGGAGAGGATCTGCAAGATGAAGGGCAAGGACCTCGGCGCCATGTGCAAGCAGGAGAAGTACAACTTCTCAGTCCCGAAGTCGTACGACATGTTCCCTGAGCAGAAGCAGGCCGTGCTGAATGAAATTGTGAAGTGTTGGGAGGCCACCTGCCCCGACTTCAATATCGTCAAGCTCGCTGGCCGCTGCGTGAAGGGCGAAGCTTCGCCTGCCGATGTCATGGGGGGCCTGCGTCTCTCGATGCCAGCTCCGCCCGCGGGCGCCGGCGCCGGGGGCGCCGCCGCGGCGACGTCGAGCGGCGACCTTCCCGCGGAGGTCACCTGCGAAGACGACGAGGACAAGACGCACTACGTCGATCAGTGTTTCAAGAAGGCGTGCGAGGCGGAGGTTGGCATTGAGAAGGAGGTGGAGCTCAAGCCGCCAGGGGCGCGTGCGTTCGCATCCCCCCCCATTCTCAGCGGTTTTCCTTCGCCACTTGATCAACCAAGTGCAGGAGAGGCTCTTCCCGCTGCACCTTGATCCCAAGTTGCAGGGGGTTGGCTTGGAGAAGCTGGTGCTGGAGCAGAAGGCGCACTCATCTTCCACGGTGATGGTCATCAAGCAGAGCGAGCCTGGCGACGTGCAGCTCAACCTTCGCGGCAGTGTGGTCGAGTACGAGGAGACGCGCGGGTTGTCTGAGTCGTCGCTGCTGCACCTTGGATCCTCCAACGGCGTTTCGCTCTTCCTCAACGGCAGCAGGTTCCAGAACTTCGAGAGGAGCGACTTTAACTTGGCGTGGCTGGTGAAGGTGGCCCCAGACAAGAAAGCAGACGATTCGTCATCCCACGCGCCCGAGGTCAAGAAGAGGAAGAGCAATAAGAAGGAGGTGCCACCCGTGATCACTCGCAAGTTGGCGTTCGAGTCGGTCGAGTTCGACCTGGTGGACCCGAGGACCAAGCAGGTCTACGTTTCTCGTTCAAGAAGCCGCTCCTCGCCCCGAACCCCGACCTGACAGACGACCAGAAGATCGGCGAGCTGCTGCGCGAGAAGGCCGCTGGCGTCGGCGATGTCATCGCAAAGAAGATGCCGAAGGCTCCGACCACATCTTTCGCGATCTGTTGAGATCGCTGCCGACGGCAGCGGCTGCCGTTGGCCGTGCGACAGCAGCAGCAGCCGCTAGCCGCGAGGAAATCATGTGGGACTGTCATGATGATGATGATGATGATGCTGAGATGCTGATGATGATGGAGCTGACGATGATGATGATGATGTCATGGTGATGAGGGCGAGGCTAGATCACTGGGCAACGAAAGAGGAGGACGAGGATGGGGAGGAGCTCTAAGAGGGCGGGGCCCAAGAGGGCCCAAGAGGGCCCAAGAGGGCCGTTCCTTGTTGGGGACGCCGTCGCTAGTAACTCGCACGGGCCCTGGAATACGCACGCACACACACACGCGCGCGCGCGCGCCGTTATCGGTAACTCGCACGGGAAAGATCGTGCCAATTTTATGTTGTCCCCTGTTGGGCGTGGATCTGAATAACAAAAAACACTATTGGTAATTCGCACGGGTCCTGGAACACGCACACGCACACGCGCGCACCGTTACTGGGCACTCGTGCGGGCCCTGGAACGCACGCACAAACACACGCGCACACGCACGCACCCTTCCCAATAAGTCGTACGGGCCCTGGAACACACGCACACACACGCACATACACACACCAGTTCTGGTAATTCGCACGGGCCCTGTGGCACACACACACACACGCACGCACGCACGCACGCACACACACACACACACACACACACACACACACACGCTCACGCACACACGCGCACACACACACGCATGCACACATGTGGATGACTGTATGAGGCTGGCTGGCCCACGCACGCATGCACGCTGTTGCGCACTGGTAGTTCGTGCGTACGGGTCCTGGAACACGCGCGCAAGTGCGAGCGCGTGCCCGTGCAGCCGAGCAGGGAAGAGGAACAGGAAGAGGGGGGGGCAGGGAGGAGGAACCCGAAGAAGACGAGGAGGAGGACCGCGGCAGAGGGAACTGCGAGGGCCAGGAGGGGGGGGCGCGGTGGCGGTGCTCCAGGACCGCGGCGGCCGCGTCGTCGTCGTCGCACCCTCCACCTCTCCCCCCCCCCCCCCGTCCTCCTCGAGGGTGGTGATGTTTTTTTTTTTTTTTTTTTTTTTTTTTCTTCTCTTTCTCGTCGTTGTTGTTGAACGTGTTGTTGACAGCGTTGTCGTTGTTTTGCTTGCCGTTGTTGTTGAAAGTATCCTTCCTGTCGTTGTTGCCGTTGTTTTTGTCGTTGTCACCGCCGTTGTCGTCGCCATCCTCATTCTTTTTTCCGTATCTTCTTTCTTTTTAACCCTTGGGTGGTAATGCCAATTTCTTTTCTTCACCCTCTATCGTACTTATTTTGGCTTAAGGTTGAACTGCTTGGTTCTGGCGGCTTGAACTTGGTTGTTGTCGACGGGGTTTGGTTCGATGTTGATTGTTAACGAGGTGGCGGGTTCTCCTTGTTTAAGGGCGGTTCCATGCGTGCTCTTGGCCCATTGTACCTGACGCGTGCCCGCCGCTGAGGTTCCTGGGGCCTGTCACCCCCTCCGTCTGGGCCACAAATCGCCCGCTGCAGATGCTGACGTCGCCCGCGCCCTTGCGCCCAACTGAAGTTCCACGCCCCCCAGGGCAAACCAAAGCATCGATCCAGAGTGGCGGGGGGCATATTATACTTCCCTGGCACCATCGCGGAATCCAGACAGCGCGGGCGTGAACAATCTCTCAGGACGCGGCCTCCCCAGTTGGGTGCGTGCTGTGGCGCTGTGGTGCTGGTCGTCGCTGTGGTGCTGGTCGTTGGGTGCGTGCCGTGGTGCTGGTCGCTGGGTGCGTACTGTGGTGCTGGTCGGTGGTGTTGGTCGCTATGGTGCTGGTCGCCGTGGTGCTGTGTGCTGCCGCTGTGGTGCTGGTCGATGTGGTGCTGGTCGCTGTGGGCGCGTGCAGTGGCGCTGGTCGTAGTGGTGCTGGTTGTTGGCTGCGTGCTGTGGTGCTGGTCGCCGTTGTGGTGCTGGTCGTTGTCGTCGCCGTGGTGCCGGTCGGCGCGGTGCTGGTGTGGTCGCAGTCGTGGTGGTGTTGCTGGTGGTGCTGGTGGTGCTGGTAATGCTGCGGGTCGTAGTCGAGGTGGCGGCCTTGGGTGGCTTGCCTCGCAAACCCGCTGGCCGCGGTATCCGTAGAGCGCGTCTCGTGGATCTGTAGATGGGTCGTGGTGCTGTTGTTGCTGTTGCGTTGGTGCTGGTCGTCGTTCTGCTGTTGCGTGCTGTGGCGGCGATCGTGATTGTAGTGGCGCTGGTCGTCGTCGTGGTGCTGGTCGTCGTTCTGAGGTTGCTTGTTGTGGTTCTGGTGGGTGCGCTTGCGGTGGTGCGCTTGGCGCTGGGTCAAAGCAGGCGTGCTCCCCGAGTAGCCCCGCCCGCGCCGTCTCCTTGTCAGCCTCGGTTTTCTTGCGCGGTCGGTTGCGGGGCCTGACCGTGACGCGGCCGCCAAGGGTGCAGAGGCAAGTTGCTCTAGTCGTGGCGTTGCTGCGGCGGCTGGTCCTCGTCGCACGGCGCCTGGCCCTTGGCCGCGTCTTGCGCTCTTCGGGTGGCACCTTCTGCCAAACCTCTCTGTCAGGAACGCGCGCCGGTGGTGAAAGGCCATCGCCTGCTTCGCGAGCGGGATGTGCTCGGCGATCGCGTCCTCTAGGACTTGTCTCGCGGCTCGTCGGCGAGCCCGTCGAGAGCCTTTGCGAGCGAAAGCTGCCCGGCACGGCGCCTGCCCAACTTTTCTTGCCTCCTGTGGCCCCTCTTGGGGAAGGCCGTGGGCGCGCCCTGTACGCGTGGCTCACTGCGCGTCGCGGTGTCGATGCTGCTTCCAGTTGTCGTGGTCGTGGTCGTTGCGATGCCGCTTGGTGTGCGCGTGTTGTTCTTGGTGGTGCTGGTCCTGCTCTTCCCTCTGCCGCTGCTTTGGCGGCCCGCCGAAAACGGAGGGGCCCGAGCGACTCGCCCCTGATCGAAGTGGGCCCCTGCCTGAGCTGGCTGCTCCTCCTCGCGTGGGCCTCCGAAGCGCAGCGACGCCCGCCCGCTACCTCCCACAGGCCTGGTGGAGGGCCGGGGCCAGGCGGGAGCTCCGCAGTGCTGCTCCTCTCCTGGTGGGGTCCGCCTGTGCGGTTGCTCCCGCCTTCTCCTCTTCATCATCTCTCCTGGCGGGGTCCGCCTGTGCGGGTGCCCCTGCCGCCTCCTCCTCCCTTTGCGGCGCTGCCTCGCGTGCCTCCCCCTGAGGCGTTGCTCCAGTGCTCGCCTTGCGTGCGCGTCGCCTCCCTCCTCGCCGCGCCGCCGCTGCTTCCCCCGAGCGGCGACGCGGCAAGTCGGCATGCTTGCAATCTGGCCCAGGCGAGGGCGCCATCGCGCGCGGCTCGGGCCCGACCCCCCCCCCCGTGCCCCCTCTTGGGCCAGGGGCGCCATGGGCCCCACGCCTTGAGCCCCGCGTCTAATTGTCTGCGGCCCAGCGGGTTGTGCACAGCGGCGTTAGAGTCCCGCAGCAGCTGCTTCCCTGGCGAACCTTGCCCAAGCTCGTTCGAGTGGTTTCGCGCGCATGGCGAGAAGCCCAGTGCGTGGGCACGCGGCTAGGTGGTCTACCGGCAGCCCCGTGCGTGCGCGGGAGGAGCGGCAACGGGGGTCTGAGGCGCTGGCGCAACGCTGCCGGGAACCGCGCGGGCTTGAAGTCGTGCCCCTCGGTGGTCAGTCGGGTGTGCAGCCAGTAGGCTGCCCTCGGTCCTGAGGCTGACCTTAGCACGGCCTGGTTGGCCCTGGCGATGAACACGTTGTCCCCGTAGTGGGTGTTCCGTGCGGAACAAGCGCGGGGCTGCCACCCGTGCTGATATTGCGAAGGCCTGACGGCCGGTGCCGCCGACCCTGTTCGCAATGCGCAGCAAGAGATTACGAGGTTGCTCAAGGTCGGCTTGGCTGGAGCCCAGGGGAAGAGGAGTCCCAGGGGGGGGCGTCGTATCTGACCCGGGGGGGGGTCGACCCCCCCCCCCTCCCGGCGGGGGAGGGATCAAAGGGAAGGGGCTTCCCTTCGACTCAATTACGAGGTTGCTCAAGGTCGGCTTGGCTGGAGCCCAGGGGAAGAGGAGTCCCAGGGGGGGGCGTCGTATCTGACCCGGGGGGGGGGGGGGAGGGATCAAAGGGAACCTTCGACTCCCCCCCCTCCCGGCGGGGGAGGGTCAAAGGGAAGGGGCTTCCCTTCGACTCAATTATCGAGTTCGCTCAAGGTCGGCTTGGCTGGAGCCCAGGGGAAGAGGAGTCCCAGGGGGGGGCGTCGTATCTGACCCGGGGGGGGGTCGACACCCCCCCCCCCCTCCCGGCGGGGGAGGGATCAAAGGGAAGGGGCTTCCCTTCGACTCAATTACGAGGTTGCTCAAGGTCGGCTTGGCTGGAGCCCAGGGGAAGAGGAGTCCCAGGGGGGGCGTCGTATCTGACCCGGGGGGGGGGTCGACACCCCCCCCCCCTCCCGGCGGGGGAGGGATCAAAGGGAAGGGGCTTCCCTTCGACTCAATTACGAGGTTGCTCAAGGTCGGCTTGGCTGGAGCCCAGGGGAAGAGGAGTCCCAGGGGGGGGCGTCGTATCTGACCCGGGGGGGGGGTCGACCCCCCCCCCCCTCCCGGCGGGGGAGGGATCAAAGGGAAGGGGCTTCCCTTCGACTCAATTACGAGGTTGCTCAAGGTCGGCTTGGCTGGAGCCCAGGGGAAGAGGAGTCCCAGGGGGGGGCGTCGTATCTGACCCGGGGGGGGGGTCGACCCCCCCCCCCCCCTCCCGGCGGGGGAGGGATCAAAGGGAAGGGGCTTCCCTTCGACTCAATTACGAGGTTGCTCAAGGTCGGCTTGGCTGGGGCCCAGGGGAAGAGGTCTCCCAGGGAAAGGGAAGGACAGAGACGACGAGTACAAAGAATGACGGAGATGACGGCTCGAACGGAAAAGCCCCTCACACACGCCGACAGGGTCAGCGGATTCTCTTGGTTCGGCAGCCTCCGAGCGCACAGGCGCTTCTTTGGGCGCAGCCCTTGGAGCAGGTCAGTGTTGGAGGGTCTCCATAAGCTTTCGGTTTCGAGCAGCTGTGCGGCCGCGGCGGCTGCGGCAAGGTTGCCCCCAGGGCCGGGCCTGGTGCCGTCGAGGAGGCCCCTCATCGCTGCAGTTTCGATGGGGCGCCGTTGGTGGAGCATGTGGAGGCCGTCTGCCCGCGCGCCCCAGTAGGCCGCCGGTGACGTGCGCGCGGCGCTTTGGAGCCCGAGTCCTCCGTGTCGCCCCGGCATTGCAGCCGGTGCGCGCGCCCGTCGCCCCTCGTCTTGCGACATTGCGAGGTCCCCGAGGAGGTAGCGCAGGGTGGTCCACATGTTGTCGTCGTGCCCTCGTGCGTATTCTGCGATGCCCTCTGGCGGCAGCGTTCGCGGCAGGTGGTTGGCCCGCGGGCAGGCGCAGAGGAGGAAGAGAAGGATGGGGGAGGAGGAGGAGGAGGAGGAGGAGGAGGGGGAGGAGGAGGAGGAGGAGGAGGAGGAGCCGCGTGCATTGCAGGTCGGGCAGGTGCGCCAGTCTTTTCAGGAGCCTCCTCTCTTCTGTAGTCTGCTCTCACGGTGTGCGGCGACGACTTCTGGCGAGCCTAGGGGGGCGCCTAGGATCTTGATCCCGGTCGGGTGGCGACAGAGCGCCCCTCCAGACGTCTTGTCCCAGCTCACCGATTCCGTGTGGTACTGCGCCTCCGCCCTTGTTGTCGGCCCAGCTCTTGCCGAGGTGGCAATATACGTTTGCGCGGAGGTGGATTGCTCCAGTGGTGGTGTCGACAGCGGCTCTGGCCGTGGCCCGAGTGGTCTTGATGTACACGTCGTCCAAGAAAGCGACCAGGAAGTCCCCTTGCTCGAGGGTCCTGGAGGCGCCCACCAGCGCTCCGTGCAGGGCCAGCGCGAAGAGGGCTGGGGCCAGCGAGCCCCCCTGCTCCACCCCCTCTCCCTGGTGCACGTCGTGCACCGCCCCCCTTTCGTCTTGCCAGAGGTAGGTTGGATCCTGCCCGTGCCGCATCTGACACACGGTCGAAAGCCCCGACTCCATCGATGCTGACAATCACAGTGTGGTCGTCGTGGTCCAGCTTTGACCTCGGCAGCGTGGCGGCGCAGTCGGTTCCTGCCCGCGTGGTTAGGGCGAACTGGAAGGGCGCGGTTGCGGCCGCGAGCTGCACGGCGAGCTGCTGGGCGAGCGGCCTGGTGACCAGTCGGCGGAAAACGTCGCTGGTGGCGATGTCCCGCGCTCCGTTGTCTGGTTTCTGGAACGCCGTCCTCTTGCAGAGGACTAGAGCGCGGGCAATCGGGGCGGGCACCCGCGCCTCCGTGAGGGCAGCGGCAGTGAATCCAAGCAGGTCCATAGATTCGTCGTGTTCACGCAGTGGCTTGAGGTGCTCGACTCGGACTCTGGCGGGTTCTGCTGCCGTGCCCTTCTTGGCGGACCCGAGGCCAGGGGGGAATTTGGTCTTGTCGAGGCTTGCCCTGTCGGTTGCGCGGTCTGGGTCGGCGGGTAGTCGGCGGCTCAGGGTGGGCGGTCGGCGGGCCGGGTCCAATTGCCTGTTCAGTGTCTCCCTGTTGCCGGGCGCAATCGCCGCCGCGGGCAGGACCTGTCTCCCTCGTGACGGGTTTGCCGTCGCCCAAGGGAATTCCAAGATTTTGGTTTCTTGGGGGCTTCTTGGGAGGCCCCTTGGAGGCTTCGTGGGGTGTCTTGGGGCGTCTTGGAACGATCTTTCGGCCACTTTGGGCTCTCGTGGACTGTCTTGGCGGCTTCCTGGAAGGCGTCAAGTGCTGTCGTGCAGCTCAAGAGCGGGCCCAGACCGCCCCGGGTGAGTTCGGTCCGGGGCCACCCGGGGCTGGGGGGGGTCAACATCGCCGTTTGGGGTCCCTGGGGGGGGGCATGGAGGGGGTGGTGGCAATCTCCCACGCCTGGAAACCCGCACAAGGGATCGGCGGATTACAGGGTGGGGGAGGGTTTCAATTCAGCCCCCCTTCAGCCGAACCTGAAAATCGCTTCTTGGGGCTCTCTTGCAGCGCTCTTGGGCGCTCTTGGAGCGGTCTTGGGGCCGTTTGGAGCATCTTGGGGGCCATCTTGAGCAACGTGGGCTATCTGAGCCATTTGGAGGTCATCTTGGGCTCTCTGTGGCCGATCGGAGGCCTCCTGAGGCTTCTCGGGTGCCTCGTGGAGCCCTCTTGGGACCTTCTTGGAGCTCTCTTGGTGCTTTCTTTGGGCTCTCGCGGGAGCTTCGGAGAGCCTCTTGGGGCCATCTTGTAGGCCATCGATCAAGAAGGGTGGGTCCTTGACCGCTAGCGACCGCTCCGTCCAGGTCCCGGGGAAGGGGTATGGGGGAGGGGTGCACCCTTCCCCGAAAGGGAAGAGGGGTTTTTGGAAGAGGAAGGAAAGAACATCGTCAGACCACCTGTCGCCCAAAGGGCTGGTGGGATTTCTCCATGTCGCTCCCCGAGGTCATTTTTTACGGCTGGCCGGGCGTTTCGCTTGAGAACTCCTCAGCAGTTATGAATCTGAAGCTGAAAAAGTGGGCAACAGCATTACAGATGGATGGCGGGTCGTTCTCAATTTGTGGCGCTCGCTTTGGCGCAGCGCGCCGTCATTTGAAACTTTTGCAAGAGCTTCACGGGCTGAGGGCGGGTGGTTTCCAAACTTTGGCCCTTGCCTTAGCTCGGGGCGCACTCGTTGGAAACATTCGCAAGAGTTTCACGGATTGAGGGCGGGCCGTTTTCACAATGTGGCTCTGGCTTTTGCGCAGCGCACAGTGGTTTTGACAATGCGCAGGAGCTTCACGGATTGAGGGCGGGTCGTTCTCAAAATGTGGCTCTCGCCTTAGCGCGGCGCACAATCGTTTTACACAACCGCAAGAGTTTCAGTGATTCCCGTCACCAGCGGGCAGAACTTGTGTCTTCAAAGGATTCAGGATTATGCGGGTGCAGCAGTTTTGTGGGTTCGCTGTGTTGAAGTCCCTGGGTTTGTGCCTGGCACGATTCTGGATTTTCAAGATGCAACAGTTAGTTTGATACGTGGCGCTGAAAACTCTGGAACGATGTTTTGGCATGCGTCAGAGTCTTCATAAGGGTGTCTTCCATGGCAATGAACCTATGTAGGGGCCTGTGAAGAGGGAGCTTGGAGGGATGGTTTACCTCCGCCTCCTCCTCCAGTCAGCCTCCTCCTCCTCCTCCTCCTCCTCCTCCCCGTCCTCCCCGTCCTCCTCCTCCCCGTCCTCCTCCTCCGGCTCCTGCTCCTGCTCCTGCTCCCACTCTCTGGCTCCTTCCTTTTTCTCCTCCTCATCCTCCTCTTCCTCCTCCTCCTCCTCCTCCTCCTCCTCCTCCTGTCCTCCTCCTCCTCCTCCTCCTCCTCCGCCTCCTCCTCCTCCTCCTCCTCCTCCATCTCCCGCTGCTGGTGCTGCTGCTTCTGCTGTTGTTCCTCCCGCTGCTGCTACTGCTCCTGCTACTGCTCCTGCTCTTGCTCCTCATCCTCCTGCGCCTGCTCCTGCTCTTGCTCCTCCTCCCCATCCCCCCCTCCTCCTCCTCCTCCTCCTCCTCTCCTCCTCCTCCTCCTCCTCCTCCTCCTCCCCTTCTCTCTCCTGGTCCCCCTCCTCCTCCTCCTCCTCCTCCTCCTCCTCCTCCTCCTCCTCCTCTCTCTTTCCTCCTCCTCCTAGTTGTTTTCCTTCCTTCCTCCACCTCCTCCTCCTTCTCCTCCTCCTCCTCCGTCCCTCCTCCTCCTCTTCGTCGTCCTCCTCCTCCTCCTCCTTCTCCTCCTCCTCCTCCTCCTCCTCCTTCCCCCTCCTCCTCTCCCTCCTCCTCCTCCTCCTCCTCGTCCTCCTCCTCCTCCTCGTCCTCCTCCTCCTCCTCCTTCTCTTTTTTCTCTGCTCCTGCGCCTGCTCCTCCGCCTATCCCCACTTGGGCAGTAGTCCCTCCTTGTTACCCCTCCTGCCTTGGTTGGCCTCCCGCAGGGCTGGCAGGGGCATTTGGCTCAAGGGTGTTTCCATCCGTGCCCTTGTTATTTTCGTGGTGATTCCATGCGTGTCCTGGAAAAGGGTACGCCATCCGTTCCACCCTGCCCTTCGTACATCGAACTACCTTCCAAGGCCACTTCGTTGCGGAACGTCGGCCCCTGTTCAAGGCCGCTATGGCTTCTGGCGATCGCGCCCCGCGACGACCGCCAGGGTTCCAATTCACCGCCGTGTGCAAGGCCGCGCTCATGGAGCCACCGTGTTCAATTATTTTCTGCACTTTTTCGCCACTTCTGGGATATTCTTTCTACTTCCGCCGTCAGGACCCCTGAAAGGGGAAGTGCGCAGCCCGTCCACCGACAGGTTCGTCTTTCAAGACCAATCGCTCCAGATAGAAGGCCGTCGGAGTGGGCATGATTGCTACCACCAGGTGTTTTTTTCGAGCCCAGACGCAGGCGGCAGCGGCAGCAGGCGTCACCTCCGCACATGGGGGCTCGAGCGGCAAGCTTGAGTACCTATTCGGCTAGGAGAGCTCGAGGCAATGCTCTGGTCCGTGGCGGACGTGGATCTCAGCGAGTTTTGCTCCGTGGTCTACGCTTCGTCCTTCCTCGCTAGTCTGGCGCGGGAGAGCGTCGATGAATGGCCGCAGGCTGTCCTGATCAAAACTCCAGTCATGGTTTGCAGCTGTTGTTCGTATTTCGTACCGCAGCCGGAGCACCGCGCGGTCGCGCGAACCGCCCCGGCGCGCCCTCCCGCGCCTGGGCCCTTCAGGTCGCAGCCTCCTGTGCTTCCGTGGAACGGGCACGGGGCCGACCTCGTTTCGGGAAGGGTCTCTCATCTCCGTTGTTGGTCGACCCCAGTGCCGCCGCGGGCAGTGGCGCCCGGGCCTCGCGGCCAGCGCGACCCTTGCCCGACCGACACCTCAGAGAAAAAGGGGGGCGCAGAAAACGGCAAGGTGTGAAGGGGCCCGAGCTCGCCCCCCCCCTCCTTCCAGCCGCTGGCGGCATGGGGGACGGGCAGCAGCCAGGAGGCCGCGCGAGAAGACGGAAGAGGAGAGGAAAAAAGAGGGGCGCCAGGCACCGCGTGTCGGCTAGGCAACGGGCTTGGGGGGGGGGGGGCGCCGCCCCAGACGCGCGGAGCTCCGCGGCTGCCGGGCGCGGCGGCCTTGCCCAGCCCTGATAGGAATGCGTGCCCAAGGCAAGGAACATTCGGCTCCGGCTCCCTCCCCAGACGGGGCCCAGAACTCATAAAACCGTGGCCAGTTTTCAGCCCCAGGACCACGTGCATCCGCATCCCAAACGGATCCCGTAAGCGGCCCTGTTGCATATGCATATAACGGCGCACCTGGTCCGGGCGCCCGCCGGCGCCGCTACCGCAAATGTGGGCTCCTGGGCCCTCGGGGAGCCCCGGGGCCTCACAGAAGACAGCCAGAAGGCACCAAGGAGGCCCCAAGAGGCTCCAGAACAGACCTGGGACGCCCGAAGGTCGCTCCCAGACGCCCAACATGGCCTCCAAGGCGGCTTCAGAAGCCCCCAAGACACCCCAAGCGACCCCCAATAGGGCCCCAAAGAGAGCCCCAAGGGGCCCAAATAGCCCCATTCCTTTTGTAAAACGTATATTTTCCCCATATCCTAAGATGGGGTTCTTGTTATTACTTGGACGCCTCCTACTCCTCCTTCCTCCTCTTTTCTCCTCCCCTCCTGTCGGGCTTACTCATACTCAGACTTGCTCATACACAGACTTACTCATACTCAGACTTACTCATACTCAGACCTACTCATACTCAGACTTACTCACACTCAGACATACTCATACACAGACTTACTCATACACAGACTTACTCACACCCAGCCGTACTCATACACAGACTCACTCATACCCAGACTTACTCATACACAGTATTAGTCATACTCAGACTTACTCATACCCAGACGTACACATACACAGACTTTCTCATACACAGACCTACTCATACCCAGACTTACTCATACACAGACTTACTCATACACAGACTTACTCATACTCAGCACCCCTAAGGGGAGCCGCCAGGGGTGGTTGCACGGGCTCGTTCGCGGCCATTTTGTGGGGATGTCTCAGGCGGTTTGCCTGTTTCTGGGCCCAACATCCTTCGCTTTCGGAGCAGATTTGGAGGATGTCTCGAGCGAGGCGCTCATTTCAGCACCCCTAAGGGGAGCCGCCAGGGGTGGTTGCACGGGCTCGTTCGCGGCCATTTTGTGGGGATGTCTCAGGCGGTTTGCCTGTTTCTGTGCCCAACATCCTTCGCTTTCGGAGCAGATTTGGAGGATGTCTCGAGCGAGGCGCTCATTTCAGCACCCCTAAGGGGAGCCGCCAGGGGTGGTTGCACGGGCTCGTTCGCGGCCATTTTGTGGGGATGTCTCAGGCGGTTTGCCTGTTTCTGTGCCCAACATCCTTCGCTTTCGGAGCAGATTTGGAGGATGTCTCGAGCGAGGCGCTCATTTCAGCACCCCTAAGGGGAGCCGCCAGGGGTGGTTGCACGGGCTCGTTCGCGGCCATTTTGTGGGGATGTCTCAGGCGGTTTGCCTGTTTCTGGGCCCAACATCCTTCGCTTTCGGAGCAGACTTGGAGGATGTCTCGAGCGAGGCGCTCATTTTCACCCCCCA